GTCACAACCAATTTAAATTTCAGCACCCATTTACCATGGTCATTGCGGGTCCTACGATGTAGGGAAAGTCGACATGGATGAAAGAGCTTTTACTTCAAAGACAGAATTTTATCTCACCATCTCTTGACCGAATCATTTGGCTGTATAAAAGATGGCAGCCCTTGTATGACGACCTCAAGAGACAAATACCTATCCTTGAGTTCATCCAAGGACTACCGGCCGACCTTGACAGCGACGACTTTCAGAATCCCGACGAAAATACACTTTTAATCATCGACGATCTCATGAAAGATTCCATTACAAATAAAGATGTATGTGAAATATTCGTGGAGGGCGCCCACCACAGAAACATGAGCATAGTTTGCATCATGCAGAACCTATTCAACAGCGGAAAAGAAAATAGGAAGATGAACCTGAACAGCCAATATTTGGATTTTCTTTAAGAATCCGCGAGACAAACTGCAGATCTCTACCCTCGCTCGTCAAATGTATCCTGGACATTCCAACATATTGCTAGATGCCTATCACAAAGCCGTTGATGAAACGCCCCACGGATCCCTTGTCGTAGATTTAAAGCAAACCACACCAGAATCCAAGCGATTAAAAACCAATATCTTCTTGAAAAAATTGCCTCCTGTCGATTTCAGCGAGGTTACACTCAAGCAAAGTGAGAACAACATTTTGCAGCCCTTTTGCCTTGATTGTGGTCTCGTGTTTGCTACATCTTACGACTTGGGTCGTCACACCGCACTTGGCTGCAACTGTGAGGAAGACTCAGAGGAAGACACTGACACCAGTGATCAAACAGATGAAGAGGACGATACAGTCGGCTTTGATATGATGATCAACACCGTCTGGAACCAACATGACCCTTTATTCCAAGACCAAGTTACCAAATTAGTCCAAAAAGGGGTTCCAACGGAAGAAGCCAGAGAAACGACCATGGAATGGATGCTGGAAAAAGACAGAGATTTATTTTGAAAAATTATAAAGAACAATTAAAACTGTCTGCCTGCCTCATGAAAAGTGCGTTGCACAGGAGTATTCGTCAGGAAATTCTCTCTCTTATCAATGAAAATGACGTGCCTCTTGAAGATGCAATATCATGTATTCTCGACAAATACCATGCATGTAAAGTTTAATCACCTCTTTCAAGAAAATAAATAAATTAACACGTTTATTTTGTAATGATATTTTTATATTATTATGTATTGTTGAACATTGAAATTAAGTCCGAATAAAATCACAAAAAAATCATAGTGTTTTGTTTTTGTCATTACATTCTCCACCACCACCACCACCACAATATGGTGGTGTTAGTTTTAAAAAAAAAATATAAGTTCTATCTCCGTTCTGTAAACCCGGACAGTATGCATTTTGTAAAAAGCAAACATAATTTTCCCCCCTCAGAAATACTTTTGATATCTTAAATTTTTCTCCCAGAATGTTATTTATCATCTAAAATAGTTCCGGAGTCCGCGGGTTCCGGAGTCCACGGTTTCCGGTAGCTTCGGTCTCCGGAGTCCACGGGTTCCGGCAGGCGGCGGCGGCGGTGCGCGCGAGCAATCTCAACATTTCTTTTTATGACAAAGTGTTAGAGTATTTGTTGCCCTTCTCTTGCTCTCCCTCCCAACTTTGACATTTAAATACCCGTGTTCATTCATTCGTGTGAGTGCTCCTGCATCCCATTTCATCATCATTTAAATACCCGTGCTCATTCACAATAACCAATACGGTCAGGGTCATATCGTAAACTAGATCTCGGTCAGGGTCACTTCATTGTTCTCCCCCCATTGTTCTCCCCCATTGTTCTCCTATTGTTCTCCAACACAATAGACCCCCATTGTTGGGGGGGGGGGGTGGGTAAACATCCGCACATACTACTATGAACAAACTTGAATCAGTAGTATGTAATGTTTGTTTTTGTTTGTATGTTGTTTAACGTCCCTCTCGAGAATTTTTCACTCATATGGAGACGCCACCACTTGCCGGTGGAGAGCTGCAAATTTTGTCCTTTACTCGGCACTAAGGGCCATTGAGCAGTGAAGGATCTTTTTCGTGCCAGCACCTACTGCGACACGGGACCTCGGTTTATACGGTCTCATCCGAAGGACCAGTCTTCATGTACCACAGTGGGATTCGAACCCGCGACGTAAGGATCAACTCCTTGCTTCGCGACGCTAGAGCAGACATTCTAACCACTGCGCCACGCGGGCGACCAATAGTATGTAATGAAGCTTTCACATAAGTTTAATCTTTTCTTGCCCAGTTGTTCTTGAGAAGATTTTTAAAAGATGCCACCAAATTTTTAGGAATTATTAATTATCTCCCCTTGAAAGAGAGCGTGGCACTTCCTGTGAACAAACTTAAATCCCCTTTACCCAAGAATGCTTTGTGGCAAGTTTGGTTGAAATTGGCCCAGTGGTTATTGAGAAGAAGTCAAAAATTTATGTGAAAAGTTTACAAACGACAGACGGACGCCGGACTCTCTTTGATCAGAAAAGCTCACTTGAACTTTCGGCTCAGGTGATCGAAAGTACATTATTTCGTAAATAAAATTGCAGAAAAAACGAAAAGATATCCCCACACTCATGTGATGTCTTAGGCTAATTGCAAAATATTTAATCTAGCATCCACAACTCATTTTACGTTATTTATTACGCTATGTGACTATCTACAAAACTACCAATGTAAGAAAAAGTATTTGACACATGTTCATATCTCCAACTTAAAAAAATTAAATTGAACTGTAAAGGTAAATTGTTTAACAATCTAAGAATTATAATGTTATATTTTTTATTGTCGCATGCTATTTTAATTTCTTTTAAATGTTCAAGCATGATCTGAAATAAAATATCACGAATTTAAGGAGGCTGCGGGGTCAACAAATTAACCATCAAATATAACTTATTTTTTTTTTAGATATGATATCTTAAGCTGTCAACTATCATTTGGCAAAGAAAAAATTCATACATTTTAGTTTTAAAATTTGATCAATTTTGTAAATCTTTATATGGAGCTCTTCTTCTAAAGGAGGTCAATATAGTCTAAAAATGGCCACAACCACCCAGCCCTCTTAACACGTCGTAAAACTTTATGCCGGATAGAAATATATATATATATATATATATATATATATATATATATATATATATATATATATATATATATATATATATATATATATATATATATATAATATATATATATATATATATATATATATATATATATATATTTGTAGAAATGTTTTGCGATAGGTATGATAAAATATATGGTTCATAAAAATGATCAGTAAACATGGTAACTAAAACACCATTATCAAGACATCAGATTCCTTAATTATACAGTCTATGCACCAATATTGATGTCCGTTCTATGAATTGATGTTTTTATGCTCCCATAATCGAAGATTCGGGGATATATTGTTCCGTCCGTCCGTCCGTCTAATTGTCCGCAAAAACTTTAACCTTGCCCATAACTTTTGATTGGTTGGAGCTATGGCGCTTGGACTTTGACCTACTTTTGAAAAACTTTAACCTTGGCTATATCTTTTGAACAGTTGGTGCAAGGGCTTTCATATTTCACATGTATACATATTCCTTGTGGCAAGATCTTCCTTTGCGTACCAACAATTTTGACTTTGGAGTTTGACATACTTTTGGAAAACTTTAACCTTGGCCGTAATTTTTGAACAGTTGGTGTTAGAGCTTTCATATTTCACATGTGTATTCCTTCTGACAAGATTTTCCCTTGTGTACAACAATTTTTGACCTTTGACCTACTTTTAAAAAAAATTAACCTTGGCCATAACTTTTGAACAGTTGGTGCTAGGGCTTTCATACTTCACATAGTCTCTGTGACAAGGCCTTTGTTTCGATACCAACAACTTTGACCCTTTGACCTTGACCTACTTTTGGAAAACTTTAACTTTGGCCATAACTTTTGAACGGTTGGTGCTGGAGCTTTCATACTTCACATATGTAATCCTTGTGACAAGACCTTTCTTTGGATACCAACAACTTTAACCCTTTGACCTTGATCTTGGAGTTTTGCCTACTTTTGGAAAACTTTAACCTTGGCCATAATTTTTGAACGGTTGGTGCTAGGACTTTCATACTTCAAATATGTAATTCTTGTAACAAGACCTTTCTTTGGATACCAACAACTTTGACCCTTTGACCTACTTTTGGAAAATTTTAACCTTGGTCATAACTTTTGAACGATTGGTGCTTCAGCTTTCATATTTCACGTGTATTTCTTGGGAGAAGGCGTTTCCTTGGGCACCATTAATTTTGACCATTTGACCTTGATGTTTGACATACTTTTGAAAAAACTTTAACCTTTTCCATATCTATTCGATGGTTGCTGCTAGGGCTTTCATATTTCACAAGTTTATTCCTCGAGACAAGACCTTACTTTGGATACCAACATACTTGATTTGCATTTGAGAAAGTTCAACCTTTGCTATAAGACGCCATACGGGGGCATCAGTCATTCACAAACACATCTTGTTTTAAAAAGTAATGTGGATGCGTTGGCATACAGCATACATAGTAGCTATGCCACAGGCAAAACTGCAATTTAAAATTCTCCTGAATCACTGAAATATTAATCTCCATGGTAACACCTTACAAAACAATATTTTTCAAACACCCTTCTTGAATTTCATGCTGCACAACTTATTGTGTCTTATCTTATCAAATAAATAGGTTCTGAAAATCTTTGCTTTTGTTAGAATTTGGTAGATAATACATACCTTCCTACGCAACAATCATGGCATTAACTCCTGTTGCCATGACAATGAAGATATCAACAAGCACATTATTGATATATTTATTCCTCCCCATTATCTTTAGATGTCAAGTTTTTTTTTCTTGATTTCAAGATTTTGTTCAAATATAACCATTAATTATGACCATTCATTATATTTTCCTGAACAACTTTTAATTAATGTGGTGTCAACATTATACAAATCACCAGAGTAAAGACTATAGAAATATGAGGGTAAGAAGACTTTATTTGACCAATGAGTGCTATAATACAGAAATGACCAGACAATATAACAAAGTTCTGCATTATCTGTTCCATAGATATATTAACATACACTGTATAACCTGGTATTTAAAAAAATGGACAGTCAGACCAAATTTTGTATCTTATAGTTAAAGAAACTGTTAAACAGAGACAAACTGACAGTTGAACTAATTTTTATAATTCAAGAACTAGATATTTCATGAAGTGTTAAAAATATCTGCATTTCTCAACTGAAAAAAAAACTACTCTAACAAAGGTTTTCTAGACTATGATAAAATGAAAAAAAAACAAAAAACAAAATGTAAATATATCGATATAAAGCACCGTTTAAATTTAAAATGCATATAAAACTGCATTTCGAAGTATCTTAACTCCTTGCATGCTAAAGCATATTAGTATATCAACAAAATAAAATCAGTCAAAATTGTTATTTGGCAGATCATCTCATCTGTTTAAAGCATTTTAAAAACCTTGATAAAAATGAGTGACAAGGTAAAAAAAAAATCAATAAAATAATATACATGTAGTTGCTTTCATATGGTTCTACTTTCAAATATTCAGAGAAATCTAGTATAATATTCTCATCCTTTCACACAAAATTGACAAATATAAAATATAATGCTGCACCTTCCTTTTGTCAGGTTTTAAAGGGAAATCACTCCTTGAATGTTAAATGAATTTCACAATTACCTTCTCTTGTTTATTGACAATATCTTGCACTATATTGCAATTGATGAAACTTTTTTTCAGCAAATACGAGATACACAGCTTATCAGCACATAGACTATAGAGTACAAAAACTGAAACATCACTTACAATACATTCATATGATATTTATGCAAGGATCATTAAAGCTGAAAAAGTTACATCCATAATGTTTTGCCTGATGATCGGAAAAGGGTGTCTTTTTGGACTGCCCCTTCGATTGAAAATTATAGTTACTAACTATTGATTCTTGAGATGTACATTCTTTAACTGCATTAATCTGTTTTTCTCTCCAACAATGAAAAGACAGAATTAATAAGAATTAAAAGGGACTGACTGGAATTCCATATACAAATGAGATGAAAATTCATTACATTTCATCCTTTACTTTCATATCCTACACCTCTTAAATTCGTACATGTCATATAAAATTTAAAATAAATTATGCTGTATATGCAGATACAGAAATTTTTTTATCCTCACAACGTCAGGGGTCTTGAATCATCTCATTGCGGTTGGACCCCTGACATAGATCATTCAATATTTATAAGCTGATAGCAGCGACGTCTTTAGGGAAGTTTGCAAATCTTGATGTTTTTTCTCATCTCTTGACCAACAACATTAAGCTTTTCAGTGATGAACAACTTGTAACGTGCATTTGATGTGTCAACTGACTCCTTTCTAGAAAGTTAACACATCTGTCTTAACTTATAAAAGTTTCAATTTGATTGGTGCTTCTCAATGACAGAAGCAATTAAGCAGGAAAAAAAATCAAATGTTCTTTGTAAGGGGTTCAATGGCAACATGTTGACTCCAGACCCCTGACATTGTGAGGATGACGAATGTTGTACTCTACAAGACCATAGAATACAGTACAATTCTTCAACTTAAATGATATAAAGCCTTATAAACACTAAATAATAGCAGCCTAGGGAAAGGCACTTTATAGCATCAAACTTTGAAGCAAAACACAAAAAAAGCCCCAAAAATCTAAGAGAATTTTAACCCAAAGGTTGCATTTCTCAACTTTATTCAACTAGTTTCCATATTTAAAATATTATACTTATTTACTGCAAGTAAATCTTAATAAATAACTTTTTTGAGCAGAAAGACTCTATGCACATAGAACACAATTTAAATTTTGATACCCTATCAGTAAATGTTTGTGTATCATTAATATCAGTATCAAGTATACAGATAAAATCAAACATTAATATTATAATACTAACAAATTAAGGCATAATATATTAAGATTTATCTTCACAAATTTAATTATCACCACAATTAAATTTTTAAACAGCATTTCATGCAAAATAACAATAAAGTATCCAATTCTAAGATCCCTAATGTCTGACACCCCCCCCCCTTCCCCCTCCCAACTTTCCACACATTTGTAGACAGATCAACAAATGACAAAGAATTGGCAGACCATAAAATGTGTCCTGTTTACCCCCGTACACAGTTGTCTTCTTAAAGACAACAGAGATACTGTGTAGGAATCAATATGACTTATACAAAAATAAAATGACCTAATTTTTTGGAATTGTTTCATTCATGATTTGCCTCGTTTTCTTCGTCGTCATCTCGATTAATCTCCTCCCTTTCATCCCCCCAATTTGTTGGAGCTGCCCCTTTTTTCATCATGATTTCACGCTTCCATGCTGGAATGCCTTCCAATTCTTTCTCCATTTGTGCCTGTCTTTCAATCTGTTGTCTTTTTTGTTCTCTCTTTCTTTCCTCCTGTTCTCGTTCCTGAAAGCAGAGAAATTCAAAATCATAAAAGGGAGATAACTTTCACATGAAACCTACAAATTGCATTATTTAAAAACATTACATCTGCAGCAAATTTCAAAAAATAAAATGTTTATCTTCAAAAAATATATATTAATTAAACAAGTGTTCAAAATCAGATATTTAAGGAAACAGACAAAGGGGAGTTAATCAGGAACTGTACTTATCAATAGCTCCATTTGTTATCAAACTTTAAAATTAGTAAAACCATGACTCATACAATCTGATTGGAAGGAATACAAATTGGGATAAGTTTTAGTTTTTCATGCATTGTTCCATGCATTGATAAAATCCATGCTATTAGAAACACATGTACAGAAATTTTTGGGGACTAATCGCTGAAACAGAGAAAGAAATAAATGTCATAATTCAATACCACATTTTGTGTCCAAGTTGTTGCATCTGGTCACTATAAACCCTGGTAAATGACAATACATCATGAACATGAGTCTTATAGTTTTGATATGTTTTAATGAGATTAAAAAGAATGAAACAGGGTTTAACTAGGTGGTTTTATAGATGGACAAGTACATGAAGAGTGATGATACAATAAGAGCTCCAATATCAAGGTTGTCATCTTGCATGTATAAACACCCGATACATTACTGAATCAAATGATGCATATTGTAAGATCTTTATTTGGGTCAATGAGTATACATATCTAGGCAGGAACAAACCTCATCAGCCAATTCATGACTTTTGCCAATAGATGGACATAAGCATCAAGATGAACAAGAAATGCTTACATCACCAACATATTGGTCACATGACCTACTAGTATTTTTATCACACTGATCATGTGACCCATCTTCATCACATTGTTCAAGTGACCCATCATCAGCACACTTGTCACATGACCCATCCTCTGCATATTGGTCATGTGACTCTTCTTCAGCATATTGGTCAAGTAACCCTTCCTTAGCATATTGGTCAAATGACCCATCCTCCCTACACAGGTCATGTGATCTATCCTCATCACAATGGTCATATGACCCTTCCTCATCACACTGGTCATGTGACCCTTCCTTAGCACATTCCTCAATAGATCCCCCTTCAAAAGTCTGGTCTTCATGTGACTCGTCCATAGTACATTCATCATGTGATTCATCCTAAACAGTGATCACATGGTTCAAAATTGAATGCATATCTGGCAAATGTTCTATTTGATTTTAAAATCAAAAGCTTTTAGTTATATTTAAGTAAAATATTATCTATATATAAATAATATTTGATCTTCTTGGTATGTTGTGCATAAATAAATGTTATTCTGCCACTGACTAAAGCATTCATCCCATCTCCTCAGTATTAATGTGTAAAACTCATTATTCAATGCCATTTTTAAATATTATTCTTGTATAATTTACATGAAATCATGTAATTACATATCCCAAAACCCTTTTTTCATTAAAACTCTTCACACATTTCAGATGAAAACCAGTCAGATTTAACAGAGTTTTTCAGACATGCTCTCCAGCAGTTTACATGGGAAATGCTTCACACTATTCAGTTATTTTGTTATTGCTGCCATTGTTATTCCAGACCATTTCTCAAACTGTTCCTCTTACCTGGTGTTACTTTTTCTTATATTTGACCTAACAAAAACCAGCTTTATCAAACTATGACATAAAGTACTCTATGTTTCCTTCATATTTGTAAAAAAAAAATGAAAAAAAAAATTAAAACGTGTCTCCTTTTCAAAATGTTATTCGAGTTTTGTGTACATGCAAAAATAAAATAGAGTGCAATAGCAGCTCACTTAGAACTTCATTTCATCTTATCAGATACGTACTGTACATAAATTATTTCATGTTGTTATTGAGTTTAAATAACTTTAATACAATATCTCCCACTTAAGTCCCAGACTAAACCTTACATCATTTGTGACTTTAGCTGAATTCTTTGGAGTATTAGTAACAGGTGGTGTCTCCAGTTTCTTGGTTACAGGTGATTTATCTGGTTGCTTAGCAATAGGTGGGGTTTCAGGTTGCTTAGTAACAGGGGAAACAGGTTTCTTAGTAACAGAGGAGGCATTATTGCTATTGTTGGTTTGGGTGTCATCAAAGGACTGGCGTTTCTGTAACACAGGTTTAATCTACAACAGAGAAACAGTTACACAACAAAGACTACAATACAATGGTGACATTCATTGTTATTAATTTATACTTCATATATAACAGTGAACATAACATTGTAACAATGGTGACACACAGAGTAACGACTGGTAACTGACATTTTAACAGAGGAAGAGTTACAAATGTGATTAAAGTGTTACTATTGTGACTTATTAAATGGGAAGGTTGTAATTATTGAGCTAAGCAAATAACAGGCCCATAGGCCAAAATCTATACTTGAGTCAGCATTTTCTTCCCAACAAATGAATATCTTAAATGAAATCCTTTACTGTGGTTAACAAATTAAAGTCCTATTTCAAAGAACAATTTTGAAGCACAGTATATTGAGGTTTGATGGCAACTTCACCAGGGGCTATGATGTGAACAAACTTTACCACAATCTATTTATGATGCATAAAAATAAATTTGAAAATCTGAATCCCTGGAGTTCTTGAGAAGGCTTAGGAAAAAAAAAAATTCTAAGTAAAATTTTGTTTCCTCTTGTGGTCCTGTTCCTGGCCCAGGGGCCATAACCTTAAAAAAAAAATTAAACTAGAAGTTACACTACATGTGAGTGGTTGGATACATGTTTGAGAATTTCTTGCCTTGGATTTAAGATGAAGACATTCAAAGATTTTTCCTTTTAATTCCTTATGTAGCTTAGCCCTGCCCAAGAGGCCAAGGTTTTACCATTTGAACACACTAAAATCTTCACTGTGTAACAGAGCTTCCCCAAAAGCTTTGTTGCTTCTCTCTCAGTGATTCTTGAGGAGTAGTTTTGTAAATGAACCCTTTTTTTCTATTACTTCTTCATTATCTCCCCTTAGAAAAGGTGGGTGCTTCTTTTGTATTAATTTTAACCACCATCATCCAAGGATGTTTTGAACTAAGTCTGTTTGAAATTTGCCCTACAGTTCTAGAAAAGAAGTTGATGTGACAAATGATGGACAAAAACAGATACTGTAGGTCACATGAGTGACTTGATCAACCAAGAATTATGTAGCTTGATGTTCTTTATATCTGTGTCAAAAGAAGGAAGTTGATGACAAACAAGAAGTCTGTGAGCCAATGCTCAATAGTAATACCCCCGCTTTGATGTGAATATACATTCTGATGTGAATGTACACAAGTTCAGTTATGGACAGATGTGCGGATAAACAGGAAGTTGACATCGGATTCATATAAAAATAAATCCCACCATATGGCATGCTTTAACAAAGAGCTTGCTAAAATTTCAAGCATCTGCAATCAGTAGTTGCTGAGAAAACTGCGACCAAAATTTGTTATGTATGGTATGGACAGACACACAGATAAACAGGAAGTTGACATCGGATTCGTACAAAAATAAATCCCACCATACACATGCCTAAACAAAAAGTGTGCTAAAATTTCAAGCATCCGCAATCAGTAGTTGCTGAGAAAACTACGACCAAAATTTGTTATGTATGGTATGGACAGACGCACGGATAAACAGGAAGTTGACATCGGATTCACACAAAAATGAATCCCACCATATGGCATGCCTAAACAAAGAATGTGGTAAAATTTCAAGCATCTGCAATCAGTAGTTGCTGAGAAAACTGCGACCAAAATTTGTTATGTATGGTACGGACAGATGCACAGATAAACAGGAAGTTGACATTGGATTCGTACAAAAATAAATCTCACCATATGGCATGCCTAAACAAAGTGTGCTTAAATTTCAAGCAACTGCAATCAGTAGTTGCTGAGATAACTGCGACCAAAATTTGTTATGTAGGGTACGGACAGACGCATGGATAAACAGGAAGTTGACATCAGATTTGTACAAAAATGAATCCCACCATATGGCATACCTCAACAAAGTGTGTGCTAAAATTTCAAGCACCTGCGATGAGTAGTTGCTGAGAAAACTGTGGAGAAAAATTTGTTACGGACAGACAGACAGCTAGACACACAGACAGACAGACAGACACACAAGGGTAAAACAGTATACCCCCCTCTCCTTCGGAGCGGGGGTATAAAAACCCACATCAACTAGACACTTTGATTAGAAAGGTTCAAGGTAGCCCCTGGCAAGGTGAGATAATGTAAAGGTAACAATGGAATAGACAACATGAAATACCTCAATCCAGTTCAGTGCTGGCTACAATCATTTGAGTGTAAAATACTCAACCATTCAGGAAAAAATAACTGTGTAAAATACTGAACCAAGGATGAAAAGTTAAACTAAACCAAAAGGGAACAGTTAAAAGTATCAGATACTCAACCAAGAAGGAACAGTTAATTGTGTAAAATACTCTACCTTGAATGAAAAGTTAATTGTTTAAAATACTGAACCAATGGCTACAATCAATACAGTGTAAAATATTGAATCAAGAATTATTTACAAATGAAGCTGTCTTGAACTGGTTAACATCATAATGAGAGAAATACTGAATTAACCAAGAATGAAAAGCTAAGTTAGCTACGTAAATAGAGTTCAACGTCTTATAACTAGATTCTTGGAACAATTTCCTGGATGGAAGCCATTCTGGGGTGTTAGACTTCTAATGTTAACAAAATGGGGGAGGGAAAAGATGGAGGAACAGAAATCTGTCAGTAGATATAGATGTAACAGAGCCATGTAACACAGTTCCTGGTGTTAATGGTTTATTGTCTGAATAGAAACGCTAGATAGTAGGCAGGAGTTTGTGTAGGATGTAGTGAATTTGTACCGACAATCAAAGGGAAGTAAAACCATCACAGAGAATTACTGAATCGCCAGAAATTTCCTGGCATTGCTCAGCAATGACGGACAAAAAGAATGTAGTAAGAGATGTAGAAATGTCAGAGGGTTGTTGATAGGCACACCCAGAAAAATTATTCTAGAGTTATATATTTGATATAAAAATAATTCATCTCTAACATTATTAAAGATCACTTAAAATTAACTACAATTTTTAAAAATAAACAAAATAAATTCAGAATCAAATACAAAGAAAAAATGTGTTTTACCAGATAATCCTGATTTTTTGCATATTGAATTATTTCAAGGTGAAAAACATATCAAGATAACACTTCAAAGTTAACCTACCATGACACAGCAGCTCGATTGGCATGAAAACTATTAATTACTCGAAAAAAATCATATACAAGATCTGCAACCAAAGAAAGAAATAGAGAACATCATGCAGGCATGGTTTGAATATCATTGCTGGGATTTTTGAAAGAAAAGAAGTGGAAAATGACTTAAAAGGTTGATGGAAAAGGAAAGCTAGAAAAAAAAAAGACAAGAATGGGGATAATAGCAAAACATTTGGTCTTTGATGGGTAAAGAGTGGAATTCAAGAAAGTCCATCGCAAGAAAGATTGTTTCTGTGGGTAAACAGATATGGACCAATGAAGTCGCAAAATCTCAAAACAATTCTGGGTCACAAAACTCTTCATGAACTTTCTGTATAGAGGAAATTTATTCTTGTTTCCATTTGTTGATCAACTTTTCCAAAGATCAAATAACAGTAAACCAAAACTTACAATTAATGTCCATAGTAAATGTAACTTCTAATAATTTCTTACATGTATTCATAAGTAATGCAATTAATTTTTATTTTTAAAAATTAAAACAAGAATCAGCTTCTTTTAAATAATGTAATAAGATCTTTAAAATAAATGCATTTTTATTGTACAAGTATGAGCCTATTTTGGTAATATATTAAGTTATTAAAAGGTGACATTTTCTACTTTCATTTAAATTAGCATTATCAGTGCCTAGTATGATTTACATAGTTACCGTAGGGAAACAAAATAGGGATATAAAACAAAAGTCTGCCCAAACAATCACTTCCAGTAAGATTTTAAGTCATTATCATTAATACACCTCAAGTATACGAAACAAATGTTCCCTTCCAATCTGTATTCTATTGAAGGATTATATGCGCAATAGATATCAAATAGTTTGTTAGCAATTTGTACAAATTTCAAGCAATCATTTTGAAAACAATCCTTTGTTTTCTGTAAACAGTGAAATATGATCTGGTGATTTTTTTCAGTAGCTTGAAATGTCTCACAAAATTCAATTTTCGATTATTCAAGAAAAAAAAAACTAATTTAAAAAATACTATGTTTGGTATAAGAATTGTTTTTGCAGACATTGTTCTCTATATCCTCACCTTCCCTTTCCCTACTGTAATTCAGTGCATTAAATGTATAGCTTACTTTGGTGGCCTTTGCCCTCTCTTTCTGCTGAGCCTACAAATAAAACATGTCACAATGCAATCTACAACTACTAATTACCTACACTCAGGTAGTTAGTCGCATGCTTTTAGTAATTCACTTCAAAGTCAACTCATTCAAATATCTATATAGTTATCTACATTTTTCAAAAAAATACAATGCCTTATAATTCCCTTTAATATCATTTTTTTTCTTTTTGAGTAAGTAATGTGGATCATTTTCCTTCCTTCTGTTGAATTTTGTTTCCTTCCCTTTTTTTAAATTAAATTTTATTTATTTAAATTTCAAACCACCAAACAAGCCAGTAAAAAAATCTATTTCATGGATGAAGCCATGCATTTTTATTTGCATCAATTTCACTCATTAGTTCTGGGTCACACAGACTAATCATTTAACCTAACTTTATCAGGAACTTCACAGGTGTAGCACAGAACTACTGCTGAAAAGTGCAACTGCCAGACTGTTCTAGAATATTTAATCTGATTTATTTTTAAAATAATCCAAAGATTTCACACCCCAATTTAATGATGAAGGAATGAAAGGCACTTTATGAACTTCTGATATTTGTAATGTATTAAACTTTATAAAGAAATCAAGAAGCCAAAGCATTTTGTTTGAATAACCTAACCACTAACTCTTACTGACAATTAAATGATACTAAACAAAACATGGATGCACACAATTTTACCAGCAATAATTAAATCTGATTAAGAATTCTTCTGCATGACATTTACACTAATTGAAGCTTCTTGTCCTTTTTTTCAGACGCCTTTATCTAATTTTTATGTACTTATGCAAAATTCTGGATTTCAAAAACCTTACTGTCCTGTAGTAGAAATAGAAAAATCAACTTTGATTTTTAAATTTAAAGTAATATTATGTGAAGATGCTTGCATTTTTTGACTGACAAATTGTAGCCATTTTATTCTTTAAAAGACCTTTGAATTATCTTAAATAAATAGAACCCCTGCATCAAATTCATTACTCTTAAACCATGCATCACAACATATTCAGCATTCGATCCACACTGAAAACTTTAAATAACTGGGAAATTAGTGGGAGGGGAGATAATGCTGCATCAGGGAAGACAACTCTTACTGCTTGTGTCATGGCCTCCTCTTGTTCTCGCTTTTCTCTCTCCTTCTTCTCCAACATTTTTCTTTTCCATTCTGGAACATCTTTCCATTTCAGTGCCTCTGCTTTTTTCCGCCTCAGTTCCTCCTTTAACACAATGGAAGGGAGATAATTTTAAATGATCTACTCAGAGTAAAGTGGACACAAAATCACATCCTCTTCATTCACAGTCACATAAATTTACATTGAAGGGAGAATCCAAGATGTTATGACTACCTAGTCCTTAAATGCCAAACAATCCTTAAAGATTGCCAATATATAAAAATCAACCACTTTTTGTCCACTGGGTGTTACTATAGACTGAAAACTTATGAAAGTCTAATGTAACCTCTATAAAAAATCATATAACTGAAGAGGAGTAGTAGTCTCTTAATAAAGACTTGGATAACTAACCATACCTGAGTCAGACAATACCTACCAGTATATCAATACAATGTAATACACATGTAAAACAAAAACCCTATTTATATTATAAATTTATGTATTTCTCACTAAATCGTGTACAGTTGCCATGTATCACAAAAGAATAGAGGCCCATAGGCCACAACACTCACTTATGTCACCTTATACCTGTGTTTGACCCCATATTCAATTATTATAGCCTCACCCTACCCTTTTGGCCCATCATTTGAAAAATATTGAATCTGCACAACTTGACAAGCTTTCAAAATATTTCTTAAGAAAAAGCTTTTGGGGAACTTTCCCTATGTATTCACAGGGTAGTAGGCCACTAGCCCACGATAATTGAAAACTGAGGTCGGGCTGCCATAGGAAAGTGATAAGAAAACTGACACAATCAAAGAGGGCCCCATTGAGAGCTGTCTTAGGAAAGTGACCAGAAAACTGACACAAAGAGGGTCCTGCTAAGGGATGTAAGAGGAATGTGACCAGACAACTGACACATTCAGAGAGGGTCCTGCTGAGAGCTCTCAGAGGAAAGTGACCAGAAAATTGACACAGTCAGATAGATTCCCTTTGAAGACTGTCAGACGAAAGTGACAACTAAGCCTCAGTAATGTTACAATAAAATGGAGCACATAAGGAAGGTGACATGAAAAAAATCACTCATATGGGTTAGAATTACTTATGGAAGACATATAGACAGACAGATAGACAAAGCGATATGACCCTAAAACTTATAGGTGTCATTCTCCTTTTAAAAGTATTTCTGTACAGAATCTGAAAATGTTACAGTGAGAACTGTTTAAGTTATCGAGTCAAATAAAGTGTTGATTGACATATAGACAGACAGTTGAACAATATGATTTCTATAGGATCCAATCAGAGTGAATACACTAATATATTACCACATATTCTCGAACTTTCTCTTCGTTTTTCTTTATAATCATATCTTTCTTCCAGTTAGGAACAGCATTTGTAATGGGAACATAGCCAGGAATTTGATTGTAATCTGAAATGGTGACAAGTGAATGTATTGAACACATAAGAAAAGTTATAAATTGAAATATAGAAAACCGCAATTTTATGTGACCAAAACCTGGAAGATTTTATAACTACATGTACTAGTTTTTAAAATTTAAAATACACAATATCGATATGGCAGGCACACATCATAAACATAATAAATATTAAGGAATGCATAACAGAAGAATTTTTCAATGTGCTTAATTTTGACAAACATACATTGAGCCTATGGGCCACAATGCTCACCTACATCACTATGGAACTGCTGCTCTACATCAGACCCCCCCCCCCCCCCCCAATATACTGCATTCCCAAGTAAAACTTTGATCACATATTGTGGCTATACCCTATTCTCAAAGTCATGATTTGAATAAACTTGAATCTACACTACCTGAGGATGCATGCTTCCATATAAATATGACTAATCATTTGAACAAACCTAAACCTACACTATGTAATGAAGCTTTCATATAAGTTTCATCTTTTCTGGCCCAGTGGTTCTTGAGAAGAAGATTTTTGAAAGATTATTCATGCCATTAAATTTTCATTTAATCTTAATGATCTCCCCTTGAAAGAAGGCGTGGCCCTTTATTTGAACAAACTTGAATCACCCTCCCCCAACAATGCTTTGTGGCAAGATTGATTGAAATTGGCCCATTGGTTCTGGAGGAGAAGATGAAAATGTTAAAAGTTTTCAACGACACCAACAATGACAAAAATGAAGACAGACAACAGACAAATTGTTCAAGCCTTCAGCTCAGGTGAGCTAATATATAGATATACCCCAAATTCATAGCTTCACCAAATTATTACCCTCTTTGTAAATAATTGTGCAGGGATAATGAGATAAAATGGACAAGAAAAGGGTAAATGAAAAGAAGAAAGTTTAAATATTGAATTAATTCTTTGATGGTTTTTTTGGTCATAATACCTATAGAATACCTTTTTTGAGATTTGAGTAGATTTTTTACTAACAATTCAATATTATATTATTGGTTATATTTTGTATAATATATCATAACAGAGAAAATTTATAATTTGTACTTACCAATTTCATCTAGATCAATGTCCATATTGTCACCAGTATCTGGAAAACAGATTAAATTCTTTATACAATAAGTGAAAATCTCAAATTAAATGGCCACAATTTCACTGTTTCAGCTCATGCTGCTTGCACATAGTTGCATGCTTAGTACTATGCAGCATGCAATTTTCTGAGACTAAGAAGTAATTTATTTCTAATATGATCCTGAGCTCTTTACTAACTGTAAAGTACATCCAAGCCATCATCTGCTCATACAAACAGTGACTTCCTTTGTAATGTAAGGGCAGGTAACTCCTGACCCTTGTCTTACAACAGCTGTCTTATTTAACAGATTGTGTATCTAAGCGGTTCCTGATAAATCATAGTTTTTTGTGCTCTAAAAATACCACTACAAGTTCTGTCTATTTATTATCCATTAGTTTTCTGCTTCATTAAGAACCTGGATCCAAGACAACACCGCGAGGATCATTACAGGAAGCAATACAAAAATGCACTTAGCCTCAATACAGATCCAGATTCATACACTGTTAATTAAATTGATTATTGTCCATATCTATAAGGGTAAACACCATTATAATTATTTCACATTTCCTTTCAGAATATTATCAGAAAAATTAAACATCTGACATCTTTGTAAATACCCTTAAAAGATGCCACAACCGAAGTAGGCTTTTCTTTTAATTGGTGTAGGTCCTGAGATTTAATAATCAAAGACATGATTTTATAAAATCTGTAAATCTCCTAAAGATATTTATTTGACAGTGATTAATGATGAGAAGAGAGTGATAAAGCTGATCCGTGATCTACATACCCTAGTGCCACACCCATATTATATACATCTAACATTATATAATTAAACCATCCACTAAGTACCATCTGTAATTACCACTGGACTGAATTATCATCACTGAGAATATAGAAAGTATACAAGTACCAGCTTATAGATAATCCCACAATCTTCCTTCAATAATCCACAGCAATAATCCCAAAGAATCTGTGTCAAAGAAGACAATGTAAGGTACTCTATTTCTGTTTCTATGACAACCTAAGATTTACAATATCAGTATACATTCCTATTTTTTTATGTGTTTTTTATTAATACATAGATCAATAGTTTATCGTTGACTGCTGCATGTTAATCTTTCGGTATCTGACATGCGGACATTATTTTATTCCCACAACACAGGGGTACTACATGTATCTTCATATGAGTGGATTTCAGACTATTTCTTGAAAACAGCAATAGTTTACAAAACTTCTAAAGCTTAGTGGATGGACTGAATGAGATGAGATGAGATTCAATTGGATGATAGGGTAGAATGCCTTTGGAGGATGTAAAATTAGACCTACACCCAGCATTATGGCCATTTAGCAGTGAGAGATCTTTTCCTGCTAACATCCACAACACAGGACCTCGGTTTCTAAAATTTCATTAGAGCGGCCACTATTCACACTCAACTTCCTGAAGTGTGATTTAAAGCTGTGATGTATGGAACAACTCCTTACTTTGAGACTCTAAAAGAAAGCAAGACCTTCCCTCTAACCACTGTGTCATGTGGGCAATTTTAGCAGGATGGTTATGTGGTAGAGAAATGTAATATGTAACAACAGAATGGTTAAGTGGTAGGAAACTTAAAGAGATCATAACAGAATGGTTACAATTATTAAGTGGTAGAGAAATGTAATGGCCTCAGCAGGATGATTAAGTGGTAAAAAAATGCAAAGAAGTTACAACAGGATGGTTAAGTGGTAGAGAAATATAAAGGGATTACAATGAATGGTTAAGTGGTAGAGAAATATAAAGAGATTACAATGAATGGTTAAGTGGTGGAGAAATATAAAGAGATTACAATGAATGGTTAAGTGGTAGAGAAATATAAAGAGATTACAATGAATGGTTAAGTGGTAGAGAAATATAAAGAGATTACAATGAATGGTTAAGTGGTAGAGAAATATAAAGAGATTACAATGGATTGTTAATTGGTAGAGAAATATAAAGAGATTACAATGAATGGTTAAGTGGTAGAGAAATATAAAGAGATTACAATGAATGGTTAAGTGGTAGAGAAATATAAAGAGATTACAATGAATGGTTAAGTGGTAGAGAAATATAAAGAGATTACAATGAATGGTTAAGTGGTGGAGAAATATAAAGAGATTACAATGAATGGTTAAGTGGTAGAGAAATATAAAGAGATTACAATGAATGGTTAAGTGGAAGAGAAATATAAAGAGATTACAATGAATGGTTAAGTGGTAGAGAAATATAAAGAGATTACAATGAATGGTTAAGTGGTAGAGAAATATAAAGAGATTACAATGGATTGTTAATTGGTAGAGAAATATAAAGAGATTACAATGAATGATTAAGTGGTAGAGAAATATGAAGAGATAATGGATTGTTAATTGGTAGAGAAATATAAAGAGATTACAATGAATGGTTAAGTGGTACAGAAATACAAAGAGGTTCCAATGAATGGTTAAGTGGTAGAGAAATATAAAGAGATTACAATGGATTGTTAATTGGTAGAGAAATATAAAGAGATTACAATGGATGGTTAAGTGGTAGAGAAATATAAAGAGATTACAATGAATGGTTAAGTGGTAGAGAAATATAAAAAGATTACAATGAATGGTTAAGCGGTAGAGAAATATAAAGAGATTACAATGAATGGTTAAGTGGTAGAAAAATATAAAGAGATTACAATGAATGGTTAAGTGGTAGAGAAATATAAAGAGATTACAATGAATGGTTAAGTGGTAGAGAAATACAAAGAGGTTCCAATGAATGGTTAAGTGGTAGAGAATATAAAGAGATTACAATGGATTGTTAATTGGTAGAGAAATACAAAGAGATTACAATGGATGGTTAAGTGGTAGAGAAATATAAAAAGATTACAATGGATTGTTAATTGGTAGAGAAATATAAAGAGGTTACAATGGATGGTTAAGTGGTAGAGAAATATAAAGAGATTACAATGGATTGTTAATTGGTAGAGAAATATAAAGAGATTACAATGAATGGTTAAGTGGTAGAGAAATATAAAGAGATTACAATGGATGGTTAAGTGGTAGAGAAATATAAAGAGATTACAATGAATGGTTAAGCGGTAGAGAAATATAAAGAGATTACAATGAATGGTTAAGTGGTAGAGAAATATAAAGAGATTACAATGAATGGTTAAGTGGTAGAGAAATACAAAGAGGTTCCACTGAATGGTTAAGTGGTAGAGAAATATAAAGAGATTACAATGGATTGTTAATTGGTAGAGAAATATAAAGAGATTACAATGGATGGTTAAGAGGTAGAGAAATATAAAGAGATTACAATGGATTGTTAATTGGTAGAGAAATATAAAGAGATTACAATGAATGGTTAAGTGGTAGAGATATATAAAGAGATTACAATGGATTGTTCATTGGAGAAATATAAAGAGATTAAAGGCTGGTTTAGTGGTAGAGAAATATAAAGAGGTAACAATGAATGGTTAAATGGTAGAGAAATGTACAGTTACAGCAGGATGGTTATAGGTAGTTAGCTATCGATAAAGGAATATAACACCATAACAACAAGATGGCTAAGTGGCTGAAAAAAACCACACAGGTTCCTGTTCCAGTCTGACTGATCTGTTCCATCTGCGTATATCAAAGAATTCTTTTTATACTGGAAAACCAAGCAAAGAAAAATATACTGCTATACTCTTGGACACTAAAAGAAGCAAGAGCTTAAAGAAATCCAAAAATAATTACATTAAAAATTTTGAACTATTTAGACTCTGTTAAGGAAGTGAATCTAACTTGCGACATCATGTGACGTCACAGTCTGTAGACTGGTCTCATGTTGTTTGAAGACGTGGATCAAAGTTAAAAGTGTAAAGCTGTAAAGATTTTTGATTGGTATTCAGTAATGAATACAGCTGTGTTAGCACCAACGTTGCACATACGTAAAACATATTAATAATTCATATATATGTATGGAAATTTATGGTTTGCAGTCAACTTCATTATAAAAGGTCCCCCCTTCACTTTCACAAGCAAACAGCACATCAGAACCTGCTGTAAATTGTAAGTGGACTGTCTTTACAGGCTCTTCCAGCATATGTTCAGAACCAGGTGTTACACTGTTTCAGTGAAGAATCATAAAATGTAGGAACTGTGTAAACCCTGTCTGCCATGTTGGATGTATGTATTCTGCTGTTTTGATTTCTGAATATTTCTTCCTATCTGACAGCTTATTGATACATGCAGTTTATTTATTCCTACTCCATCTTAGCACTCAGCTTTGTGGGCCAGCAAACACTTGTGGGGGTTGCAGTTAAGATTTCTTTATGCTTAATATGATTTACTTTCCTACAGATCTGCTGCCTCACTGTGCAATTTTTTTTTTTAAATCATGCATTTTTAAGTATCATAGCTACATGATCCTTTTTTTTCTCTTTGAGAGGAAACAGAGTGCCAGAGCATGTCTGAAATTCTAATTAATGCTTTATAGCTATAGGGTTCAGCAATGATTCAATAGGGATTCATGTAAACAAATTTCAACACCTCAGGAAAATGGTACAAAACTTGATCAAATTCTCCAAACTCACTACAATAATAACTAAGTTCTTCTTCTCCTTTCTGACTTGCATCCTCAAATTCTTGAAATTACAATAAAATGACTTAATGACATTTTCCCTTTTCTTGGGGAAAGCTGAGGTATTTTTTACAGAACAATTTTGACCATGAAATTTACACAACTATAACTAAATAAGGGTATTAAAACAAATAATATAAATTTAGTAGTTGGGGGGTCTTTTTGGCAGAGATCTTGAGGAAATCTGTGCTTTGTTCAAATCTCATTACTTAAATTTTTCCCCTTGAAACTTCAAAGAATATGGTTCAAGACTTAACATCAATGCAATATCTTAATGTGCATTTCATGTTTCTAAATTCACATCAAATCTATTTATCCATGATAAAAAAAAAATTCCCTTTGATATTTTTCTTAACAGAGAAATGACCATCATCAGATATATTAGTTTTCTACATCCATCTACTTG